TGATAGAAATAGTCAGATCTACTGCCTTTTCTTTTGCATTGAAATCTTTATTACAAGCAATCCTGCAGTTCATAAAGAACTTTGGTTTCCTACCTCCACGAGTGCCATCTATTTTTTGCCTTGTTTATCTAAAAGTGCTCTTTCCCTTTAAACCTAGCCAAAAAAAACATGTGTTGACTGTGAAACTTTAAGACTTTAATAATATGCATTTATGGTGTAATTACTACATTTTCGTGTCAATCCATGTTCATATTACATTAATTCTTCGCTTGCAGCGCAGCAATAGACTCGGTGCGGAAACGATCTCGGCACTGCTGCAGACGCACCGTTACTGGAACGCACTGTTGGGTGCAGTGTGAACGCTTTAATTCGTTAACATAAGCACGGAAAAAATATGCACCACATATGCACTGCAAACAGAGTAATGTGAACCTGGCATTATGTTTTCGCTGCGAGTGTGCATGAGCGCACGGTCTCCAGGAGAGCGCGCGAGCACTGAATGGTTAAACACTGGTAAGTATTTAAAAGTAATGCAATTTATAAACTTTAGTGACGATGTGACACTACCTCGATTGTGCAAGTGACAATTCCTGTGTAAACTGTGCAGCTCGCTTATAGACAGATGCGATGTGTGGTGATTTGAAGCCATTTGTGTATTTTGAGAGAGAAAGAGAGAGAGCGCACGCGGTGATTCACTCACGTTGTTTGTGAAATTACATCTCACACAAAGTTTTCAAATTACTTTATAAGTTATTTAATAAAGAAATATAAAGGTGAGTACCTCACCTTCAGCATTATAATTATTTCACCCGTGCCAGACAGAGACTGAGATGTGCCGCTGCATGTCGTGCCAAACCTCTCACGGCAGCGTCATCAGCTTGAGTTCGTTTTTTTTGTGATCGGCCTTTTTAGAGACCGCCGATCAATCATCCCAACGTGATTACTGGCCGATAGTGATCAATCGGAGCACCCCTAGTAAAAATGGTCAGATTCATTACAAATGTATCAAAGCTTACTCTCCATTTTAGATCTCTACATAAATGTAAAACTAAAAATAAAACTTAAGCAGGAAGTCCAGCCCCAAACTCACACCATTAGTTGAGCCAGATGTTGACTTGTCAGACTGATCTACAAATGGCTTTGTGTGCTTAAACTACAATAAGAGAAAGCATTTCAAAAATGACACACCTCACCTTTAAGGATAATGTTGCGTCACAGAATTATTTGAAAATGTCATGCGTTTATGTATTCCTACTAAAACGGTAACACTTAAGGTTACATTTGACATTAGTCAATTACATTATCACATGAACTAACAATAAAAAAATTCTTATTACGTATACTTAATACGTATTTATTAATGTTAATGTTAACTAATGGGACCATACTATAAAGTGTATTGTAAACCATGTTTTTTGATGAAGGACATTCAGAGGATGAATTGTAATCTCAGAAATGGTAGATCAAGTGAGCTTTGGGTCCACATCACTGTCAAGTTCTGGATTCTGCTTGGTTGCACTTGAGTTTCCATTAGGAGCTGAATAAATTTAAGTTCGTTTTTTTTGTGATCGGCCTTTTTAGAGACCGCCGATCAATCATCCCAACGTTATTAATGTTAATGTTAACTAATGGGACCATACTATAAAGTGTATTGTAAACCATGTTTTTTGATGAAGGACATTCAGAGGATGAATTGTAATCTCAGAAATGGTAGATCAAGTGAGCTTTGGGTCCACATCACTGTCAAGTTCTGGATTCTGCTTGGTTGCACTTGAGTTTCCATTAGGAGCTGAATAAATTTAAGGTCAATAACCAGGTTCATGCGGAGTCAGCGCAGTAAACTGCACTAAAACCTCAGCAGATTAAAAAATTTATAAGAATAAACTGTCAAAACTGTGTCATTATTTACTCCACCACATATCGTTCCAAATCCCTATGCTGTTATGTCTGCAGTGGCACACAGAAAAAATTTAAACAAAGTGTCTCTCAAATCAAACACACCATCAAACATCATTACTGCCCTACAAAAGCAAAAGACCTTAACTCACTAGAGAAAAATTACTTTTTAAAGATTTGTATTTGTCCAGACAAATTAATTATAGGTAGGACACTGGAAATCTGGCAGTTAGATGTTTTAGTAATGAATATTATCTACATAAAAAATGTTGAGCTCAAACTTGATTTTTACTCCTATTTTGAAGTTACTGTACTCTGCCTTTGCATTGTCAGCAAAAAGTGAGAAGTCACGGCAAGGCAAAAGGTAGTAACGGCCATATTATATACAATATTTGGTTGCTGATCACCATTAAAATCTAGTGATCGCGGGCTGTCTCATATGCTATAACATACAGTAATGTGAATGTATAAAAAAAAATTTTTGATTGTAACAACCAGACAAAAAGTTAAAGGGGTCCTATTATGCTCTTTTACAAAGTCTTGATTTTGTTTTGGGGGTGTACTAGAACAGGCTCTCATACTAGGTTGTTCAAAAAACACATTATTTTTCACATATTTTAAATTTTTACAACACTTCTCTCCCCAGTCTGGCATGAATACCACCTTCAATACCACGACTGAGGTGCCCTTGAGCAAGGCACCGAACCCCCAACTGCTCCCCGGGCGCCGCAGCAAAAAATGGCTGTCCACTGCTCCGGGTATGTGTTCACAGTGTGTGTGTGTTCAGTGCTGTGTTTGTGCACTTTGGATGGGATAAATGCAGAGCACTAATTTCGAGTATGGGTCACCATACTTGGCCACATATCATGTCACTCCTTCACACTTCTCTGAATGGCTCGAATAGCTCCTGTATCAAATGAAGGACCGCCTTCTGAAATACGAAATGTGCTGTGATTGGTTAGCTGGGCTAGTGTGTGTTGTGATTATACCTATTTATACCTATTTATAGTATAGTTACACCGTAATTTAAACGCGGCAGACTTTAATGGACAGTAAAACAAAGGCAGAATACCGTATAACTCCAGGCCGGCACAGTAACTTCATACAATCCACAAGCACTGCTAAACAAAGGCACCATAGCCTTTGTTGAGTACCATAACTCAATTTGAGCGTTCCAAAACAAAGTCAAAGCACGGTAACTGGTGTTATACGGTGTTCTGCCTTGGTTTCTCCTGGGCTTTTCGAAGTTCCTGTTAAGATAACCCATTATTTTCTTGAAAAACAACAAAATTGACTCAAGATACTTATCCACATGATAAAGGTCTTGAATGTCTCAAAAATATCAATAACTAATTTTCGACCAAATACGAAGTTACGGCCTTTTGCCTTTGCACGGCAGATTAGTTCTCAAGTGTCTTGTAACCAGAAATCATGACGTCAAACCTGTAGACTATAGGTGCCATATTTAATTTAAGACCTGCAGTGGAGGTGAAGGCAAATCTAAAATATGGCGTATAAATCATACACTCTAAAAAATGCTGGGCTGTTTCAACCCAATGTTGGGCCAAATATGGACTAACCCAACTGTTGGGTTAAAAAGCTAATTTAAAAATGTAACCAAAATTTAACCCAACAGTTGGGTTAGGTGATTGGTTAGCTGGGCTAGTGTGTGTTGTGATTATACCTATTTATACCTATTTATAGTATAGTTACACCGTAATTTAAACGCGGCAGACTTTAATGGACAGTAAAACAAAGGCAGAATACCGTATAACTCCAGGCCGGCACAGTAACTTCATACAATCCACAAGCACTGCTAAACAAAGGCACCATAGCCTTTGTTGAGTACCATAACTCAATTTGAGCGTTCCAAAACAAAGTCAAAGCACGGTAACTGGTGTTATACGGTGTTCTGCCTTGGTTTCTCCTGGGCTTTTCGAAGTTCCTGTTAAGATAACCCATTATTTTCTTGAAAAACAACAAAATTGACTCAAGATACTTATCCACATGATAAAGGTCTTGAATGTCTCAAAAATATCAATAACTAATTTTCGACCAAATACGAAGTTACGGCCTTTTGCCTTTGCACGGCAGATTAGTTCTCAAGTGTCTTGTAACCAGAAATCATGACGTCAAACCTGTAGACTATAGGTGCCATATTTAATTTAAGACCTGCAGTGGAGGTGAAGGCAAATCTAAAATATGGCGTATAAATCATACACTCTAAAAAATGCTGGGCTGTTTCAACCCAATGTTGGGCCAAATATGGACTAACCCAACTGTTGGGTTAAAAAGCTAATTTAAAAATGTAACCAAAATTTAACCCAACAGTTGGGTTAGTCCATATTTGACCCAACATTGGGTTGAAACAACCCAGCATTGTTTAGAGTGTATGTACTACTTTTATTTGTACTTTTTGGAGCTTGACAAGCCTGTTTTCACTATAAACAGACCTAGTGTGGAAAAACTGTTTGAAAGAAAAAATAACAGCAGTATAAATGATGACAGGATTTTCTTTATTTTGGCAAACAATTAATTTAAACCTACATTTCTTGACTTTGACTTCTGAAAATAAGTCTACATGACCACTGTAGGGCAATTTTAGGGCAAAATTTTCCTCACATGACCTTAGAAATGATCATGTTCTTTCTCTGTGTCTGCCTCTCCCTCGCTTATGCGATCCCTTTCACCTCCTCTCTTCCTCCTCATTCTCCCTTTCAGTTATCACATCATTGGAGAGCATTCAAAGTCCTGGCATCCAAATCAACAGAAACACCTCCTAAGTGATCCTCCCTTGGGCGTATAATCCTTCACCATTAGAAATCTCAGAGACACACATACTTCCCTCCTCCAGCGGCTCACGTCAGGCAGTCGTGACCCATTTGGATGGTTATTACTTACACGCAGGGGCCCTAGCCCCTGTCTGTCCAAACACACTCATCCGCTGGCTAGGCAGCTCTGGATATCTGTTCTGACTAAGTAGAGTCAGCAGCAGCCTTGGCTTGTAGCTGTGTGTGTATGTGAGTGTGTGTGCGTTTGTGACTGGCTCTATGAAGGAGCCCTCAGCATTAATGTGAACTGACGGCTCTTTGGCAAGCGCTTACTGAGTGGTTTGAGGATGCTGTTGCTGGCCTCCTCATTGTTCTCTGCATCTGACCTGTCCGAAGCATTCTCAGTCATTTTCTCCTTTCTGTCCTTGTGACTGGTGCGTCTGCGATGACGTCTCCTTCGCCGGTAGCTCTTAGGCACATGCACACCAATATATATGGTGTGGTGACCTGAGAAGGTAAAATGAGAAGATGGGTCAAGCTATTAAGGTGACATGACGTCACACAAAGCATAAGTAACACAAAAAGATTTCAGAAAAAAATTGTAATCAGTTTTTTTGTCTAGTATTTCAGTATTAATATTTAAATAGCAATATAACAAGATTTGTTTTCTTCAAAATAATTATTTTCAAAGAATATACTCTACCATTCAAAAGATTTGGAGTCTTTAAAGTTAAAGATTTTTATGCTCACAAAGGCTTCATTCATTTGATTAAAACTACAGTAAGTAATATTGTGAACTATCATTACTAATTAAAAACAACTGCTTTCCATTTTTAAATATTTTAAAATGTGGCAGCCATTACTTCAGTCTTCAGAAACACATGCTACTTTAGAAATCATTTTAATATGCTGATTTGGTGCTAAAGAAACATTTCTTCCAATTATTATTAATGTTGAAAAAAGATGCGCTACTCAATAGCTTTGTGGAAACAGTGATGTCTTTTTCAGGATTCTTTGATGAATATAATGTTTGAAAGAGAAGAATTATTTGAAATAGAAATCTTCTGTAATATTATAAATGTCTCTGTCACTTTTGATCAATTTAATGCATCCTCCTTGATGATTTTTTTCCAAAAAAAGAAACACTAAAATCTTACTGACCCCAAACGTTTGAATGGTAGTGGATGTTACAGTTTTATATATATATATATATATATATATATATATATATATATATATATATATATATATATATATAGCATGTGCAATAATAACAATATCAGTGACTGCAACTCATTCTGAGTGAATTCCTCTCAGTATATCTAAAAGGCTCTTGATGACGTAGATAAACACATACAGAACTAATTGACTCAATCCAAGTAAAGTAAATACAAAATGTCAGTCCTAACGTTGTTGTTGTCAAGAGATAAATGGCTCCCTATTGTCAAGATAACACAAGCCACGTGACCATCCTGCAGCAACACACTTCAACATCTGTAAGATAAATAATGTGTTATGTCACCAAGGTCAGGAGCTGGATGCCAACTGTTTGCTTGTGGCCCTATTGGTTACAAAATATGAGTAAATAACCTGAGTAAAGACGTAAATAAATGGCGTGACTTCCTCAACGCAATTTATGCAGGAAATGGTGGACTTCACCAGAGGGGTTTGCAGCAGACTGTCAAACTAAATATTTTGGCTGAGAGAGCTAGCAGGTAGTGCGGAACGTCCAGTGTTTAGATCCATATCATACAGACACTTTCCATGTCTCTCCCTCAGTCCCAGGATGTCCATCGGTTAAAGCTGCATCCCAACACTGTGTTATTGTGTAACATTTTGGAACTTCATGTTTCATTCTGTGAAATGCAACTCTAACTGGACCAGTGATATAAGTGCAGACCTGCGGACCACACCTGATACCATCTATTCCAGAATTCTAAGCTATAGTACCACATTAAACTGTAAAATTACTGTAAAAAGCATAATTTACAGTTCAGATACAAGTTTTCACAAAAACAAAAAGTTTTACAAAATGATAAACTTTATATTTCAGCCTTTGAACCGTATGATGCGATTTAAATTTTTCCTTTCTCTTTGGAGTGTTACAAGCTCTTGGTGCATAAAGAAGATCTGTAAAGTTGCAAAGACTAAAGTCTCAAATCCAAAGAGATATTCTTTATAAAAGTTAAGAGTTAAGGCTCGTTCTAACACGCCCCCCCCCACATGTCTACGTCACGATGTGGGAAATGTTCACGCAAAGAAAGAAGGCGTAACTTTTATTCTCGCTGTAGTATTGTTGTTGCCGTTGCCGCCACCGCCGCCATGTCGTGAAGGCACTGTGTTTCGTTGTGAAAGCGAAACTACTTACTTTGACCTTCCAAAAGAGGACGCTATCCGTTTTGTCATGCCTAGAGCTGATCCGTGCTGGTCGCTGAGGAAATACATCAACTTCGTGCTGTGGATCGCCGGATCGGCTTTCATAGTATGAATTACTTTATATTTATTTTGCTAAAAAAATATACAAAAAGCCTTTAATTTCTAAATCTTACTTGGGAGTTAAATTGTTTTGGAAAAAAATACATCATGAACATAAATCATGTAGGTTGAGAACGTGACACCAGTCATATCGGTTCGCTCCAGGGCACATCCAGTATCTTTTCTGCAAAACATTCTGGAAAATGATTGCAAATTGTTGACATTTTGCCTTTTATATGCTTGTTTTTAATAAACAAACAAATGATGCAGAAAGATCATCAAGAACCTTTATGAATATGGATCCCACCTATGCTGGGATGGGCGAGAGCAAAATAAGGAAAAGGGAGTAGGAGTAAGGACTAAGAGAAGGAAAGGGAGAGGTAAGATGGAGGGAGGAACCACACATTGTCGAGCCAGCTTTGTGCCAAGCTTCCTGTTCTTTCGGAGGAACCCTTTTCTATGCGACCATAGAAAGAGGCCTGAATTGGAGTGGCATGCAATTCGTCACTGGATAAAGTGTATTCCCTGAATTTGGCTGGACCCTATGGGCTTCAGCATCTGAGCACTTTGTGTTACCGCAGTAACAGAGCTGTTGAGATGGAGGGTACAAGTACAGAAGATGGCAACACACCACTGTGCATGCTAATATAGCTGTTAATAAAGCGCTACCTCTAAAAGAATTGCCACATATGGGCTCTTTGTCTAGCAGGCACATGTTGCTCTGTTATAGTTTACTTTGAGAGCAGGCCAATGCTATTTTTCATTCTGTGATTTCTAAGACTAATGTTCTTTTCAGTGTACACTACCATTCAAAAGATTGCGGTCAGGAAGGTTTTTTTAAAGAAAAATAATACTTTTATTAGTGCTGTCAAAATTAATGCATTAACGCAGGCGATTAATTTTTTCAGTTAAACAAGCTAAAAATAACTGACATAACGCAGAGGCTACAGAGTGTGCTGCAGCATTTGTGTGAGCAAATGAAGTAGCCTGTCTCATTTCATATTAAAGCACGAAAGAAACTACGAGCGTGTAATGTCGTAGTTATGTCTTCAGGTAAGTCATGAAGTTACCAAAAAGGCCATTAAAGCTGCCTTAAAACTGTGCATGTAAGTGAGTCACATTTATGAAGATATCTCTGAAATGCAGTGGTTTTCAAAACTGTCCTGGAGCAGCCCAGCACTATCTCCCTCATCTAACACACCCGATTCAACTCATCAGCTCATTATAGAGACTTTAAGACCTGAATTGGGTCTAAAAAGGTAAAGACTTAAGAGAAAATACGATGCGTGCCAGATCCGCGTCATGTTCAGCAGCGGCAGCCCTTAAAGCAGCCAAAATAAACGAATAACCCAGCTGCTGTCGTTAATCAAAGAACAAAAGAAAAGAAGGAAATCAATAACTTTTGTAGCTTTAAGGATTCATCTATATTTAATTTAGAATTTAGTGTTTGATAACTTTATTCAATTTTTGTATATTTAATTTCCTACTTGCTGAAGGGCACAGGTAAATATGACACTTATTATAATGGGTTTATGCGAAGATTGTTTTAAGTTCACTTAAATTATAAGTTGTTATTTTTTCAAGTCTAAGGAATATTCAAATTGATAGCTCTCAATTATACTGTAATGTTTGAATGGCTATAGTCAATTGGTAATTAGGGGGAAAAAAACAATTTCACAGAGACATCAGTAGTATTGGTGGTATCAGTGATACTTACCTTCAGTTATAAAAAATATGCCATTAAACAAATATTAAAAATATACTGTTTTATGTTGTTTCTACATTAATTTGAAGATTAAATGTGAAATTATTGCAATATAAATGTATATTTAAAAACTTTAATGCCAGGTGGGATTAATCGCGATTAATTTCAGGAAAAATTAATTGTTTTTCTTTTTTTATCAATTGACAGCACTAACTTTTATTCAACAGAGATTAATTAAATTGATCAAAATTGACAGTAAAGATAAAATAATTAGAATAACTTTTATTATTAGAATCATTTCTGAAGGATCACGTGACACTGAAAACTACAGTAATGATGCTGAAAATTCAGCTTTGCGTCACAGGAAGAAATTACATTTTAATATATATTAAAATAGAAAATAGTTTGTTTACTTTGTAATAACATTTTACAATATTATAGTTTTTACTATATTTTTGATCATATAAATCCAGCCTTGCGAGCATAAAAGACTTATTTCAAAAATAATTTTAAAAATCTTACCGGCATCAAACTTTTAAATGGTAGTGAATCATAAAAAAAATATTATTATAAATGTAAACTGCACATTTAAATGTAGGTCAGGAAGGTTTTTTTAAAGAAAAATAATACTTTTATTAGTGCTGTCAAAATTAATGCATTAACGCAGGCGATTAATTTTTTCAGTTAAACAAGCTAAAAATAACTGACATAACGCAGAGGCTACAGAGTGTGCTGCAGCATTTGTGTGAGCAAATGAAGTAGCCTGTCTCATTTCATATTAAAGCACGAAAGAAACTACGAGCGTGTAATGTCGTAGTTATGTCTTCAGGTAAGTCATGAAGTTACCAAAAAGGCCATTAAAGCTGCCTTAAAACTGTGCATGTAAGTGAGTCACATTTATGAAGATATCTCTGAAATGCAGTGGTTTTCAAAACTGTCCTGGAGCAGCCCAGCACTATCTCCCTCATCTAACACACCCGATTCAACTCATCAGCTCATTATAGAGACTTTAAGACCTGAATTGGGTCTAAAAAGGTAAAGACTTAAGAGAAAATACGATGCGTGCCAGATCCGCGTCATGTTCAGCAGCGGCAGCTCTTAAAGCAGCCAAAATAAACGAATAACCCAGCTGCTGTCGTTAATCAAAGAACAAAAGAAAAGAAGGAAATCAATAACTTTTGTAGCTTTAAGGATTCATCTATATTTAATTTAGAATTTAGTGTTTGATAACTTTATTCAATTTTTGTATATTTAATTTCCTACTTGCTGAAGGGCACAGGTAAATATGACACTTATTATAATGGGTTTATGCGAAGATTGTTTTAAGTTCACTTAAATTATAAGTTGTTATTTTTTCAAGTCTAAGGAATATTCAAATTGATAGCTCTCAATTATACTGTAATGTTTGAATGGCTATAGTCAATTGGTAATTAGGGGGAAAAAAACAATTTCACAGAGACATCAGTAGTATTGGTGGTATCAGTGATACTTACCTTCAGTTATAAAAAATATGCCATTAAACAAATATAAAAAATATACTGTTTTATGTTGTTTCTACATTAATTTGAAGATTAAATGTGAAATTATTGCAATATAAATGTATATTTAAAAACTTTAATGCCAGGTGGGATTAATCGCGATTAATTTCAGGAAAAATTTATTGTTTTTCTTTTTTTATCAATTGACAGCACTAACTTTTATTCAACAGAGATTAATTAAATTGATCAAAATTGACAGTAAAGACAAAATAATTAGAATAACTTTTATTATTAGAATCATTTCTGAAGGATCACGTGACACTGAAAACTACAGTAATGATGCTGAAAATTCAGCTTTGCGTCACAGGAAGAAATTACATTTTAATATATATTAAAATAGAAAATAGTTTGTTTACTTTGTAATAACATTTTACAATATTATAGTTTGGCAATAAAAAGTCGCTTTGGAATAAGTGTCAAACCATGTTTTTAAAGCGACTTGCATTGCAGAAAATATGGTAATTATAAAAATATTATGTTGGACTTAAGACAAATTTGTCCAACATTTAGGATGTTTAGAATGTGGAGGACAAACATTCATAGCAGGGTTGAAAATCATTTCAATATTTAATATGTATATCCCATTTTGATATCTAAATCTGATTTTATTATATATGACCATGTTTGTTTTTTTTTACCAGTATTGCTAGATAAATAGAAGCACTGCACATTTACAGAGTATACTGTATGTAAAATGCTGAAGTAAAAATTAAAAATAAATAAATAAATAAAATAAATGCATGTCTAAGCAGACCAAAAACATAAAGCAAGAAAAACTCAAAACAAATTTGTCCAATACTGGATGTCTGGAATGAGGAGGATAAAGATCCATAGCAGGGCTGAAATGAACTCATTTCCTGTTTGACATTTTTCAATAATAAGTGAAGAGGTGGTATGCTATTCCTTACAGATTGTTTTAATAAACTCAAGTTATATCACTGGAGATGTCAACTCTGAGTTGGCTTATGTACAAAATATGGTAATTATAAAAATATTATGTTGGACTTAAGACAAATTTGTCCAACATTTAGGATGTTTAGAATGTGGAGGACAAACATTCATAGCAGGGTTGAAAATCATTTCAATATTTAATATGTATATCCCATTTTGATATCTAAATCTGATTTTATTATATATGACCATGTTTTTTTTTTTTTACCAGTATTGCTAGATAAATAGAAGCACTGCACATTTACAGAGTATACTGTATGTAAAATGCTGAAGTAAAAATTAAAAATAAATAAATAAATAAAATAAATGCATGTCTAAGCAGACCAAAAACATAAAGCAAGAAAAACTCAAAACAAATTTGTCCAATACTGGATGTCTGGAATGAGGAGGATAAAGATCCATAGCAGGGCTGAAATGAACTCATTTCCTGTTTGACATTTTTCAATAATAAGTGAAGAGGTGGTATGCTATTCCTTACAGATTGTTTTAATAAACTCAAGTTATATCACTGGAGATGTCAACTCTGAGTTGGCTTATGTACGACATGAAGCAGTTAAAACTTTATCTGACATGTTCTGCTTTTACTACATAGTAAAATTAAGCAATAGCAACATAGTGAATATCACAATGATTTAAGAGTGATTCGTTTGGCCATTAAGTTGCATAAAGAGTATGTTGTGAGAAGACAATGCTTCTATTTCCATTAATACATGAAAGATTTAATATCTTAAATTCTTCATTGAGACACTCTCCATATACTTTACAGCTGCATCTGGGGAAGTATGTAGCCATTTGCCCACTAGGAATAAAGATCATTGCTCCAAGCAAGGTGTGACTGCTCTTTGTCACTTTAGTGACAAAGAGTCCAAAGACCAGACCGAAACAATTCAGGCACTGATCTTCTCTTTCAGGAATAAAGGTGTGACTAAAAGTGTGCAGTACATGGATATAACGTTATTTGTTCAGATCACAATCATCTTTAGTGCTTTTCACTTCTAAAATACATTAAGAACATTTAATGCCCAGAGAACACACTTTAGGGTAATGATTTCCTCAATGGGCTCATTACATGTTTACAAAAAATAAATACAAACCAAGATGTAAACACAAACAGGAAGGATAGAGCTCGTTTCTCTGATAAGAGCGCAGAGCTCCCCAAGAGCCCAGTGTCTCTGCATATCTCAACTAGATGCAATCAAGCATGCTGAAAAGATGCCAAGTTTACCCACTCAATTCAGCTACCCAGGCTCATTGAAAAAAACGTGCCTGTGGTGCGATTTCAGCAAAATGATATTACATTGCTTCTTGCACATTTCATAACACTTTCAAAGTGAGTGGCACTAACAGTGTGTTCAGATGTATCTGAAATGTGAATGTGCATCTGGCAACAGGTTATTACATTCGTTGTTATATGTATCGCAACAGTTCGGAAGTGAAATGATCCGTTAGTGGTGCTAAAATGTTAATGCTCTATCGCATTTGAAAAGAACATACCACCTATACACTAAACCCTATCCTAAAGCTGTTCGATAGTGTTAACATGAGTAAACGTGAGATAAAATCGCATTTGCTGAATCAACTATGTCATTTTCGATTGCTTCTACAAGTCTCTTTTATCATGACTTGTGTTTCATGGAATTTGTGCTTGGGTGCTCAGCATCACAAGTGCAATACTGTACCGGGTGAGCTACTGATCAAGTTTACGATGTCAGAAAAGCCATACAAATGGAACTGGTTATGTGATACAAACGTAAATATGTATTAGTTCACAGATCATGCACTATGGTAAAAGTGTTTTGAGGTCATAACACAGTATTGTGCAAGGAACTGTGCAAAAAATTTTAATATATATTAAAATAGAAAATAGTTTGTTTACTTTGTAATAACATTTTACAATATTATAGTTTTTACTATATTTTTGATCATATAAATCCAGCCTTGCGAGCATAAAAGACTTATTTCAAAAATAATTTTAAAAATCTTACCGGCATCAAACTTTTAAATGGTAGTGAATCATAAAAAAAATATTATTATAAATGTAAACTGCACATTTAAATGTAGGTTGCTAAGTTAGTCAAACTGTCAATGGCAAAACTAAACCAAAATTAAATTTGCATATAGCTCTCCAAATTCCAATTAAATAGCAGTAATAGTAATCCCATTTAAATAATAGTAGTAGTCTCTCTTGAAAGCTAAAAGAAACAATACAAATACAAAAACATTTCTCTTAAAAGTTCAGAATAGCATACTGACATATTAGTCTTACCATCTCTGCAGTATATAGTATGTATACTACACCTAGTATGCAAATATTCAGTATGCACAAATGACTGCACAAAGTCACCTAGTATTTGTGCCCTACATCTTCATCACCCTAAAGTAAACATACTAATTATACCACTCAAATCTAACTGTATCAAAGCAAACCCCAAATGACTTCACAATAAGAGACATTTCCTAGGCTTCAAACTTTAGTTCACAATCCAAATCAAAAAGTGGCTTTAGTGTAAAAAATATTTTGAGATACTTGCCTTCAACTTCTTCCTGATCACAAAAGTGTTTGAGTAACGAGGCCCCTCTGTCCAGCACAGCCTCATCCTCCATCCTGTAGTAGTAAAAGAGAAAGAAAGACTGCTCACATTTCTCTTCTAAAGACAACGTGGAGCCATATCGGCGTGGCTCATTCACTTGCAGTGTGTTTCTGCTAGTAGTAGCCATTTCCCAGGTTAGCAGGTAACGCTAACAAGGGGGAAGTCTTTGGTTCTGGATCCAGCCCAGGTTAGTAGATGTGCGGTGCAACTTATGGGTCACGGTCCTTTTCTGAGTGCTGTCCTTGAGGGACGCAGGAGCGGTCAGGTAGACACTGGGAGGGTAATCCGGTCTGTGGGGGATGGGGAGGCCTGGGCAGCCTTGCAAGATGCTAATTGAGTCTGATGTCCAGGAGGTGTGAGCCAGGCTGCCACACACAGATTTCAAATCAGCTAACGAGCGATACTAATGCTAATACAACAAGTTACATGTGGGTGGAATAAACACTGAGCATGGACTCAAACACTATTTATGACAATCGGATTTCTCCAGCTGGCCTATTATTCTCAAGTGATTACGAGGCATTATATGCTCTTCTGACATTAGATCAGTAATGAAACATAACTTAATCTGTCCTGAAATAGGAAACTTTACAAACAAACAATGTTTACTGTATTTTCCTAAAAATAGTTCACACCTGACTGTAGTCGCACCAGGTCAAAATTGTATTGAAATATACAGATGAGCATAGCATTGGTTTATTATTACATTTAGAAATAATGTGAAATACAGGGCAATAAAAAGTCGCTTTGGAATAAGTGTCAAACCATGTTTTTAAAGCGACTTGCATTGCAGAAAATATGGTAATTATAAAAATATTATGTTGGACTTAAGACAAATTTGTCCAACATTTAGGATGTTTAGAATGTGGAGGACAAACATTCATAGCAGGGTTGAAAATCATTTCAATATTTAATATGTATATCCCATTTTGATATCTAAATCTGATTTTATTATATATGACCATGTTTGTTTTTTTTTACCAGTATTGCTAGATAAATAGAAGCACTGCACATTTACAGAGTATACTGTATGTAAAATGCTGAAGTAAAAATTAAAAATAAATAAATAAATAAAATAAATGCATGTCTAAGCAGACCAAAAACATAAAGCAAGAAAAACTCAAAACAAATTTGTCCAATACTGGATGTCTGGAATGAGGAGGATAAAGATCCATAGCAGGGCTGAAATGAACTCATTTCCTGTTTGACATTTTTCAATAATAAGTGAAGAGGTGGTATGCTATTCCTTACAGATTGTTTTAATAAACTCAAGTTATATCACTGGAGATGTCAACTCTGAGTTGGCTTATGTACGACATGAAGCAGTTAAAACTTTATCTGACATGTTCTGCTTTTACTACATAGTAAAATTAAGCAATAGCAACATAGTGAATATCACAATGATTTAAGAGTGATTCGTTTGGCCATTAAGTTGCATAAAGAGTATGTTGTGAGAAGACAATGCTTCTATTTCCATTAATACATGAAAGATTTAATATCTTAAATTCTTCATTGAGACACTCTCCATATACTTTACAGCTGCATCTGGGGAAGTATGTAGCCATTTGCCCACTAGGAATAAAGATCATTGCTCCAAGCAAGGTGTGACTGCTCTTTGTCACTTTAGTGACAAAGAGTCCAAAGACCAGACCGAAACAATTCAGGCACTGATCTTCTCTTTCAGGAATAAAGGTGTGACTAAAAGTGTGCAGTACATGGATATAACGTTATTTGTTCAGATCACAATCATCTTTAGTGCTTTTCACTTCTAAAATACATTAAGAACATTTAATGCCCAGAGAACACACTTTAGGGTAATGATTTCCTCAATGGGCTCATTACATGTTTACAAAAAATAAATACAAACCAAGATGTAAACACAAACAGGAAGGATAGAGCTCGTTTCTCTGATAAGAGCGCAGAGCTCCCCAAGAGCCCAGTGTCTCTGCATATCTCAACTAGATGCAATCAAGCATGCTGAAAAGATGCCAAGTTTACCCACTCAATTCAGCTACCCAGGCTCATTGAAAAAAACGTGCCTGTGGTGCGATTTCAGCAAAATGATATTACATTGCTTCTTGCACATTTCATAACACTTTCAAAGTGAGTGGCACTAACAGTGTGTTCAGATGTATCTGAAATGTGAATGTGCATCTGGCAACAGGTTATTACATTCGTTGTTATATGTATCGCAACAGTTCGGAAGTGAAATGATCCGTTAGTGGTGCTAAAATGTTAATGCTCTATCGCATTTGAAAAGAACATACCACCTATACACTAAACCCTATCCTAAAGCTGTTCGATAGTGTTAACATGAGTAAACGTGAGATAAAATCGCATTTGCTGAATCAACTATGTCATTTTCGATTGCTTCTACAAGTCTCTTTTATCATGACTTGTGTTTCATGGAATTTGTGCTTGGGTGCTCAGCATCACAAGTGCAATACTGTACCGGGTGAGCTACTGATCAAGTTTACGATGTCAGAAAAGCCATACAAATGGAACTGGTTATGTGATACAAACGTAAATATGTATTAGTTCACAGATCATGCACTATGGTAAAAGTGTTTTGAGGTCATAACACAGTATTGTGCAAGGAACTGTGCAAAAATAAGACTTTATTGATTGATTTGTACTGCCTCTAGTGTTCATTTCAGCTAGAAACTGCAGTTAATAGTATGTATAGGTACATTTTGGAGTTTTGCAAAAAAGTAGGTAGAGGCATGCTTTTCCAATGTGCATATGTTGCAATTCTGGCAAAGTGTACAGTATGTCAAGATATGTGTCATCCAAAGGGCCATTTAACTTGAAAGCTAAAAGTTAAGTTAGTAATACACCAACAACCATTTAAAAAGCTATATAAAACCTGCGGGGGTTTTACACTTGGTTTTACACATGCTGTTAAAAACAATAACAACATACGTTAGGTTAACTGTGACGCAAACAGATGTATGAATGATTGTATAGCACTTGGTTATCTTTGACGTGCTATAATACTAGATGACTGGTTAATAGGTCAGTGAATAGGTTTAACAGAGGGGTGTGTGGACATGACCATGTTTCTAACACCTAGACTTTACACACACCAAAGTTAGGACTGTTAATAGCAACCATCAACAATACCAGTTTTATGGACAATGTCAAAATTCATAACCCATATGATTATAACAGACAAAACAATCCTGTTTATAGTAATCTCAATTGTACAGAAAGTACAAATTGTAAGGAAAACATTTCTATTAAAAGTAGGCTCTCAATTAATCCAGGGTCTGTTAAAGGGTGAAAATCTCTTGGAAAACACTTGTGTCTACTGTTATAAAGTAGGCAAAAAAAGAAAAATTCAAGATCTGCACTAAAACGTCTTGTTGTTTTAACATCAGACTCTGACTGTTACTTGTCCCCTTAGATTGAAACGGTCCCTCTTCCTCCCCCATTCTTCATTGCCACCTATAGAGCAGATACTGACACAGCAAGCAGCAACAGTACTCCTTCACATCAAATGAGTTCACGTTTTCTTGCAAATACTTTGGTGTCATTTGGGTGAACTGTCGTTTCAGAATCAGCTTTCTTGAACAAACTGATGACTAAACAGGATTAAGGCCATATTAAAAAATCTTTGAAGGTACATACATGAAATATAACAAACTAGCATAACACACTACACCCACACTTAATACGCAAAACTGGTGAGTGGTGACAGATTTAACTGCAGCAGTGAAATGATCAATTAGCACTTTTCTGATTTCTTTAGCGTTTTACACATAACAATCTGCTTAACTGACTTCAATCTCTTATGGGTAAGAGAACCAAACTTTCTGCAAATACTAACTTAACTAATATTTAGATCTAGTATCACTGATATTTGCGTATTTGGACATGACATAGGCTACAAAGATGAAACAAATCTATGTATAAATAAGTTTACGTATTAACAAATTGTTTTGGATGAATCTGCTGAACATGAGAGGCCTTTATCTATGTTTGGGTGCAGAATATAGCTTATTATATGTTTATTACAAATATTGATATACTCCATTCACGCAAATGAAAGGAAGAATGAAGCTCCTACACTGAACTGTCACCAGTTAGGCAGAAAATCGTAAGGTGTTGCTAGCTGAAGGTGTTGTCAAATTAGCCAGGTTTTGCATATAAGGTATGGTGCTTCTAAGTACTAATAAATAATAGTGAATGAGGGGCATTATCCAAATATCCAACATAATGTCTTCATAATTAGTATAATGGAGTTGACATGTGGTGCTATGGCAGAAATCATGAGCACGATAACTTAAAAGCTACATAGAAAAGAAATTCACCAGAGCCTGTGATGTTGTTGAACTATGGAAAGAGGACCTCAAGGATAACCCTGATATTATCTCATTTTATAAAAGTTTTCATAGACAGCCTATCTGGCAGTGCTGGCAAAAAGTAGGTACGTAAAAACTACTGCAAGTCATTTCAATGTAAATTCAACTGTGAATCCAATGTCGCTTAAACAGCTTGCAGTGTCTGTTGTTGTAAGGGCTTTCAGAAGCTATTCTACTATGAACTGGATGAGACTTGTTAACTGATCTGTAACCCTGACCACAGAACCGATAGACACAGGAAAAGGTTTTAGGCTCTTACCTCTTACCGCCGCTCATTTTGTTCAGTTGAATCGCTGATAATGTATTCCAGTAGTTTGCTGCTTCAGTCCAGCGCGATCAACGGAACCTCTGCAACGCCAAACATTTCAGCTGCTCAGTTACTGCGCGCCCGCAAAACACTGACAACAAAGGTTTTAATTAGCCCTTATGAGTGTAATAAGAAAGCTACGTTTTTTTAATAGCAAAAAAGAAAAAAAAGTGACAAAGTCAATCTAAAATACCTCCCGTCCTGTCTGAATGTGACAGAGATAGCGCGCGTCTGCTGCAGCAGCAGAACAACTGGACGCTTCAAACTGCGCGTTTCATTTATTACTAGCCGCTGTTAGGCGCGTCACAGCACGAGTGGGAGGTCAAGAAGCCTACCTTGAGCAAGATGACACTGACACCCATTTCTCTTTGAAAACGACAATCCATTAAGTTGAAAATACACGCCTCAAAGCGTAAAGACATGTAACCCGCGTAACTACTTTAGTGAATGTGCGCTCGCCTGATCGGCGGATCCAAAGTTTGGCGGTGGGATGAAAACAGGTGCTCCGCGCGCACCTTGTGGTTACTTCACATTCACGTGAGACACAGCGACACCTTCCGGAGAAATCTCTCACAGACAGCATGTGGTCGAAACACGGTAGAAAAACGAATCACATGTAAATAGATAAAGGGTGATGCATTTTTAATCACCCTTAGCAACCTAGCAAATGTTTTTCATTTTTAGATGAATTTTTTTTTTAGGCT